AGTTATTTCTCTGTCAGGAAAAAAACCATTAAAACTGTTAGTTACAAAAATTAAACAGAACAAGTTGTCCATGACTTCGTTTATAGAGATAACCTATTTAGTAAGTGATGATTACGGACAGCCTAGGCAGCACTTAGCAACATGTTTTCAAAATGAATAGAAACATTTCTAACAAACTGTTGAAAGTTATTGCCCTCAGGAGACAGCATTGCAGGTGCTTTATTAATTGGATGGAGGGAGGTAGTACCATTTAGTCTTATAATGTTTACTTGCAGTTCTCCAAAGCAGATGATACTGGTTTGAGCTTTTCCTTACCTTCATGATTCACATATTACCAGAAGCCAAGTGCTTGAAAAGTTCAACAGTTGATTTATATGTACTAAGGAGAGTGGTGGTTCCAGTTCCTAAGAGCTAAAATATTATAAGATCCTTAATTATGGCCTAGCAGGTAGTGAGAATATTCCTATGTGCCTTGGCCTGGGTGGAATATGATTTCTGTCATGGACTGGTCCATCTGGTCAATTGTTGCCTGTTTCTGAACGCTACCTTTTAGCTGATGTTGTCGAGGAGCCCATAATCTATAAAATTCTTATCAGTGACATGCTGGGCATCTGGAGCAGGATTGGGAGAAAGAGTTATTCTCCTATTACACTGCAGCGCTGCCCAAAAGGCACTGTCCAGCTGATTTCAGCCTAGTGCACTCAGTAGGCTACGGTGTATGGAAGAAACAGGGGTGGGGGTTAAGAGGTTGGAGGGTGAGTGTATAGGACGATGTAGGTAGGGTGGGGAAGGTAGGGCTGGGTGAAGGGACAGCCATATATTCATCAATCTACTTCGTGCTATTAAACTACCGGGCCCCAGATGTGACTCTGGATTCCATGGCAATATGCTTGCCTCTGGGTTGATCCTGAGGGTCAGGGAAAGGGAGAAGAGGTGTTTCAAAGGGTGTGGCCAGGCAACGCTCCTGATGTCGTTCTCCATGTAGCCTTGGTCTCAAGCTGGGCCCTTTTTCCAGGGGCTGTGACAGCTACAGATATTTCTTTGAAAGGGGGTTATAAGGCATCATTGTACTGTACATGAAAATGAAGGTAGTTTGAAATTCATGCATGAAAGGATGACTGCCTATATTACTAAGGTACTTTCTCAAATTATTTTTTTACAATCAATTGGATGTAAGGTTGTACTTATATCATTACATTCACTTATATATCCATATGCTTTCTTGAGTAGCAGAGAAAGCAAGAAGGTTGGGGACTTCACAGAGCTCTGAATACTCCCATGGGAGTGTGTCAGGCACAAGAATGTCAGCATTATTTGGAGTGGTTGTTCTAAATAATAAAAGCCTTCTCTGACCAACAATTTTTTTTTCTACTGGGTATTCTGTCCTTTGAAAGAAAAATTACAGATATAAGGTCTATGAAATTTCCAATATGCTGGTATAAAATGATGAAGCTGTGGGTTTCTCAGCTTTCCTCTCCCCTCTTTGTCACCTTAATTTCTTCCCCTCTTACTACTCTGTCAAGAGAATGGATAAAACCTTCTCAGGTGAATTCTTGAGAAAAAAAGCAATTAGAGTGGAATAAAAACCATGGGGACCTAGTGGGTGAGAGAGTTATGTCAGTATAGGAGTGTGAGAGAACTTTGGGAGTTTGGGGATATTAGAGAAAAGGAGCGTACAGGAGAGTTTAATAAGAGCTGCTGTGAATTGTACTCTTAGACTCCTTTACCTGCTTGAGAGATACATGGGAGGAAAGACTGCAATTCTATACCCCATCATGTTTCCTTAGTCCAACATCACTCTGGGACAAGTGACTGGGTTTTGGAAGTTGGGGGCTGGAGTGGCAATGTCACAGTTTTGTAAGCATAAAACAAACCAGACATTCTGTAGCTAACATTGCTATCCTTCAATCTACCACATCTCTTCTCCCTAAACGGTCTCAGTGCTCTGGGATCAGGGTAGGTGGGTGGCACTGGGGGTGAGGGGGTGGACAAGGGAAACCCACTCAGACTGCTTTGAAAACAAGAATACTGATAAAGATTCAGGCACGATACCCTTAGAACTCTGGTTCTTTTTGTTTCCCAAACAAAAGTATATTAAGGGTAGCACATATATCTTTGTCAGAAACAAGGATAGCAAATCAGTCACAAAAACTTCCATTTGGTTCCCCAGAGATTAGACTTTTTTTTTTTTTAAGATTTTTTTTTTTTTAATGTGGACCATTTTTAAGGTCTTTACTGAATTTGTTACAATATTGCTTCTGTTTTATGTTTTGGATTTTTGGCCACGAGGCATGTGGGATCTTAGCTCCCCAACCAGGGATAAAACCCACACCCCCTGCATTGGAAGGCGAAGTCTTTAACCACTGGACCACCAGGGAAGTCCCAGAGATCAGACTTTAGAATTGAATCAAACTGCCAACTTTATATAAAGCCCAACTCCTGGCCCACGTGTGGAAGCACCATCGCGGAGCCTGCCTTTCTCTGGCCTGTCCACTGGATTATTGCCTACCCAGTTAAAGCAAAACTTCTGGCCCTCAGTCACCAGCCCTCATACTGACTTTACCTCTGGTTCATTTGGACTTTTTGATATTTTCTCATCTTAAATTCTTTATCATTATTTTCCAAATACGAGGAAGATTCATTATCTTGAAAAAGCAGGGAAGAAATTGTTTTATCTGCTTTTCTTCAAAAAGAAGGCTCTTACCTGCCTGCGTCTACAGCCACAGAACAGTCAGAGAGCTCTGTTGACGGGCACTGGCTGTGGAGTCCGTTGACCCTAAACCACAAGAGGTCCAGATTAAATGATTTCAGACTCACTCCATGATCCCTTTCTAGTAGTTCTTTCTCTTCATTATTAAAGCATGCTCATCTCTTCAATAAAACATACAAAAACAAAACACAAGACACATTTTCTCTAACCACTTCTCTTTCTTTTCAGATACAAATTTTTTGAGAAAACGGTACTGGACTTGGTACTTTGTACAGCGCCTCTCTCTGACCTCACATTCACTCCTCCCCCACTGGGTTTGTCTTACATGATGCTAGTGAAAATGCTCTTGCAAAGGCCGCCCATGAAACCGAAACACATAGTTGCTAAATCCAATGGACACACTTCATTTTTATCTTAAGGGAGCTTCATAAAGCCTTGGACATTAAACTCCTAGGAACTGTCTCCTTTTTTTGGCTTCTAGGATACTGTGCTTTCCCTGTTTTCCTGATTATCTGTCTGGCTCTCCTTTCTCAGTCTCCTTTGGGTACACATCTTCAATTCATTTCTTAAACCTTGGTGTTCCAAAGGTTTGCATTCTTTTCCTATTTCTTTTTATTCTTTATATTCTCCATGGGTTATCTTAACTATGCTTAAAGCTTCAGGTACAATCAATATGCTGATGATCTCCAAATCTACATCTTTAGCCCAGATATTTTTAACTGAGTTCAACCTATATAAATATAAGTGCCTACTGGATATCTTCACTTAGATGTCCCACAGGAATCTTCCACTCAATATGCATGAAATGGTCTCATTCCTATTCCAAAAACTTGTCCTTCTCCCTCTCTCTCAGTGGTAATACCATCAACCAACTTGTCTAAGAAAGAAACCTGACAAATATCTTGATTCTTTTCTCCTCCTTCCTTGTTCACTCAATGACCAAGACACATTCGTTTTCCTTATCTAGTAATAAATCCATTTTCTTATCTCCTGACTCCAAACTTATTCTCATTTCATAAGTCAGGCCCTGACCTTTCCTAGCTTGGATTGCTGAAAACATATAACTCTCTCTGTTTCCCATCTTGCTCCTTGCTTTACACTTTTAGTTTAAATCAGCCCTAGAGTGATCTTTCAGAAATGCAAATGTGATCATGCCCTTCTCTTGCTTAAAATTCTTCAATGGCTGCCCATTGCTTTTACGATAAAATTCAAAATGGCCCCCACGCCCACTCTCACCATTACAGCCTCCTGTGCTGGACTGCTTTAGGGAAGACGGGCTAGAATAATAGTTTAATCTCTAGCTATTTCATGCTTGGCTTCACTTTACTGAGGCTGCCAATTAGTGATTTAGAGGTGAACTCTTCTATGCTCTGCTATGAACTGAGGTCTGTTTCAAGTAGTTCTTGAAGAGCCTTTGGCTTTATTGTCACTAAAACCTGCACTGACTTGAACTTGTGACCTAAAGTTGAACATCTGTATATCCTATTGGCCATCCCCTGAGTCAGGAAAGTAAGCTTTGAAAACGCTTTGGTTATTTGTAAGTCCAATTTGGCCTAAAGAAATCTATTTTCAACTTAACAATATTTTAAATGTTATATGTTCAGACATAGATGGCAGTTTTTTTTTTTTTTCTTCTACTTTCCCTCTTATAATTGCTTTTCAGAGAGAAGTGGGTAGATCTCTCAACGCTACTGACTTTTATAAAATGGTGGATGAGTGCTTTCATTTTCTTGTCTTGTCATCCGTCTTTCTCTGGTTTTAGCAATGGAAGGTAACAACAGCTGGGTGTGATCATATCAGCAGGAGACATCCTTGCTCCTGGCTGATTCACAAATTGCCCCTGTCTTGCTTGCCATTTCAAAGAGAGGAATAGAATATAGAATGGACAAGAAAATTAAAGGGGTTGCACACACACGCACACACACACACACACGCACACACATAAGATTTTCTTCTTATAAAGGTAAGAAGAAAATCAGTAAGTCAAGAAAGGAATTAGAAATACCATAGACCCACACAGGAAAAAATATTTAAAAAGTGATTCAGAAAGATTAGATATGGACAAAAGGAAAGGGGAACTTGTTTTCTTGTGGGAAAAAATCATTTTTTTAAATGTTAATAAACTGCTTTTTCAGCTGATAAATAAAATATGGTTTATACAGAATATTCTAAAAGGTAGACAACTAGACAGTTATCAAGGCAAACTTCCTCCTCTTTACCTGTTAGTCTTGTCTACAGCCTGAAAGAAATTATGATTTTCAAGGGGAAAAATCAACATTATGCATCTTACACAAGGATGTCCTCTACCAGGGTGTGAAGGGCACTGGGATTGCGGATCAGCTTGTCAAGGAAGCTGACAATGTCAGTAAATTTTGGTCTGTGATTTCTCTCCTTCTGCCAGCAATGGAGCATCAGCTGGTGTAGAGATGCTGGACAGCCCATGGGAGCCGGAAGTCTGTAACCTTCTTCAATGGACAGAATGACCTAAATGCAAACATACACAGGTTATTCTCTTACTTTTGGGTACAAGTAATACATATGCTAAGTTATAATTCCTTTTATAGAGGAAGTGGAAGCCAAAACATTGGTAAGCATGAAAACTACTTGTGAGTACATGTAGTCCAGACGAGGATAAATACGAAAGTTGTGAACAAGAATTGCAAGTATCTTCGTAGCATCTGCTGACCCCCCTTGAGAGGAAAAATATGTTTTTAAAATTTGTGGTATACATATGGGAGGTTAAATTTCATCCCAATTGTCCAGAAATAGTTTTTGTGTGATTTAGCTGGAATGCCTCAAAACCCAATTAGGACATCAGAAATTTAGTCTAAGATTGATGCATTTAATACAAACCACATGTGACAAATGTTTTAAGTAAAACTGTACTTCTGCAGAAGCACTGAATTCCTGATTCATTTTTTATCCCTTTATAATAATGTCAGTGAGTATCCTTTTTGTAGCCATCCTTCCTTCTTTCTTCTTTACTGTCTAGTTAATTCTTTATTTCATTTATTTGGTTGCACCGGGTCTTAGTTGCAGCAGGCGGGCTCCTTAGTTGTGGCACGTGGGCTCCTTAGTTGTGGTATGCGAACTCTTAGTTGTGACATGCACGTGGGATCTAGTTCCCTGACCAGGGATCGAACCCAGGCCCCCTGCATCGGGAGTACAGAGTCTTAACCACTGTGCCACCAGGGAAGTCTCTGCCTGTTTAATTCTTCTTCACTTACTTCTGTCTTTCCCTTAGTCTGACACTGATGTGATTATGAAGTCCTTTCAGAACTTCTAAGGTCATTTAATCTTTGAAATGCTATCAGTGCCCAGCTTAAGGCCACAGAGCAACAGGACATTCAGCCTGAGTATCCTCTGGGCCAGTACTCTCCAATAGAACTTTCCATGATGACGGAAATGTTATCTCTGTCCAACATGGTGGCAAGTAGTCACATGTGGCTATTGAGCATTTGAAATGTGGCTAGTAAGACTGAGGAACTGAATTTTTAGTTTTAGTTTAATTAATTGACATTAAATTTTAAATAGCCACATGTGGCAAGTGGCTACTCTACAGGACAGTGTAGCTTTAGGGACAGGATAAGAAGCCAAAGTTAACTTTGGCTGTATAAGATAAGCCATAACTGTATTATTATTATTTTTATTGTACTTAGGAAATCACATATAAGATAAGGTAAGATATTTCTCTATTTCTCTGTTTAATATACTACCCACTGGGAATTTCCTAACAATGCAATAAAGTTGACCTGGAATTTATGTAGCTTATTTTTTAATAAAGTGTTCAAAGGTATTCACGTGACTATTCTTACATTGTCTCTGGGAGAAAGACAAAGGAAAGGGTTTATTTACCCCCTTCTTTTTTTTTTTTTTTTAACATTTGTCTGCTTTTATTTTAAGAAGGCAAGGAAGTGTGTAAAGAAGTTTTCAAAATTCCCCAATTGTTAAAATTTAACAAAACAGTTAAAAAGAAAAACTTTGCATAGAGAAGGCACTGAACTGGAACCACATTTTTATAGACTAGGTGGTTCTCTGGGAGGGTTTTTAAAGGATTGTTGCTCAGGATTTGCCTAAAGCAGGGCAGGCTCTCTGAAATCCACAGCCCCCCCTCTCTAAAATGCCACCTTGTGAGGAAAAATGGAAGTCTTTTAAAAGGTGCATCTTATGGTCCTGTGTAGGCATCTTCCCCCTGCCCCTCAAAATGGAGGTGTCTGGTGGGCTAGGACCCAAGCTTTTCCGTTGATATTTCCCCCATTTTTGATGTGGGAAAATTGAGGGACAGACGAATATTTAAAGACAGGCACAATTCAAGCTTACCTCTTCCCTGTGCCAACAACAGAAATACAAAAATGTAAGTGTAAATATTGTTATCAGTGCTCTCTTTATCGTACCACCATCTACACAATTTCATTTTCTATAATAATAAAAAAACCACATCTCCTTTTAATTTCTTTTTTAATTGACACTATTTGACATGACTCTAAAATATCTATAATTTATGCTAGAGGCAGTCTGTAAAAAGAAGGAAAAATATGCCTTCAGGAACCTCTTAACTGCTAAGCTTTAGCTTTTTTTCGTAATAGGGAATGTCTCATAATCCCATCTGTGTCTTTGTGACCAAAACACTTTAACCTGTCAGGATACTAGCTTTTTTCTGTTCATTTTATATTCTGTTATTGAATAGGATTTTTTCTTATCTGTTTTCTGACTACTTTTGCTACCAATTAGGCTTGAATTTTAAGACATTTTGCAACACATTTTAGTAAAACAGGATGTGTATAAAAATGCTTATAATGCATCAAAACTACTGTGGATAGTTTTGAAAAGTAACTAAGAAAAATAGGATAGAACTCCATTATAGAAAGACTTGAAAATCCCACCCCAGGAGAGCTCTCTAGTCAATTTCACAGTTACCTAATTGTAAGTGCATAGAATAAAATGGATGACAAGTGAAGTTATAGTCTGAGAAAAAAATTAGCTGCCTTTATTGAGCATCATGTGCTAGATGCTTTGCATAGTTTTCTTCATTTACTGCTTAAAATAACTCAATATGGTAGTTATTATTATACCTATTTTTAAATGAGAAAATTTAGACTCAGAGATGTTAGGAAACTTGCCTAAATTCACACAGCATAGGTGGCAGAGCTGAAATTTGAACTTTCTTTCTTTTAGCTTCCAAACTTTTCCTCTGGCCATTCCCCAGGAATGCTTTTCAGTTCTCATGATAACATCTTCCTCTCCAATTTTATATCAACTGATGTAATTTTATGAGTGATGATTACCATTTTATCTATTGTTATACATCTGCTAATTGGGCTTCAATGTTTTTACTTGGATCCTAAGCTTTATATTCTGGGTAAATCAAAAACATATTTACTTCATAGTTTGCAAAATGTAATCTCTGGCTGAACAGAGTAATTTCTGAGTGCATCTGAGTCCTGCACACATTTCTATTATTGCATCTGTTACATTGTATTATAATATTTGATCTGCTTCCTCTCAGGCTAAACATACATAAAAGAAGGAATTATGTCCCTATATTTTGTATTCTCATCCCTTAGTATGGTGCCTGATACATTAATAAATGTTATTGACAAAAACAAAAGCTATTAGAAGAAATTTTGGGATTTGTCTTGATAGAGATTAGACTCTTAGAAAACCTGGAGTCTCAAGCTACCCAAGATGGATTCAAAGCAGAAGCATGACAGCATTTGAAGTACCTCAGAAGGAAATATTAATAAAAAACTGGGGCATCAAGTAGTATTGTTCAAAATGATATAATTTCTCCTGGTTTGGCTAGACAACAGCCAGGTGAGATTGGGCCTTGCTCTTGTCTAAGACAGAGGGCACATCAGCTTCCTGTAAAGACTGGTGGTTTCTTACTCCTGTCCAGAAGGTTTACTATTTCCCATTGACCCAAACGTCCTTAGCTGCTGGGGAGCTGACTTTTCCAGACAACTTCTGTAAACAGCTGACACTCACATCCAGCCTGCTTGGTGTCAAGCAGGCTGTTTACTCTCTTTTGACAAAGTTGCTCTCATGATTGGCCTGTAAGGAGATAGAGTGACAAGAAAGTGTGGTCCTTCACCTGGAACCTTTATCCATAATGTGTTCAGCAACGTGTCTGGTCCCAGAATGCCTTTCTGTGGGGAGAGTGGGAGGTTCAGGGACTCATGACATTGCTTCTTGCTGACCTCTGGCTTTAAAGCTTCCTCTGTTCTTTAACTTGTGACTTTGTGAAATATGTCCTGAGCCCTGGTTCATGACAGATGTCAAACCTGAAGTTCCCACCTTATAGGAAAATATTAATAACAACAGTAACAACAGTGACAATAATAATAACAGCTAACAATTACTGAAAGCTCTTGGAAACTTCCAGGTGCCATTTCTAAATGATTTACATGCATCAACTCTTTTAATCCTTACAGTAATACTATGAGGTAGGCACTATTGTTATCCTCATTTTACAGACAAGGAATTTAAACACAGAGAGGTTTAATTTGTTGAAGATCACACACGTAAAAATTCTGGTTTTGAAGGTAGCTAGAGAAGAGATTTAAGCAATATGATTCACGAAGATGGTTAAAAGATACAACATCTTTCTAATGGAATTTTAATTTATTTATCCAAACAGATCTATATTAATCACTTAAAATATACTATTGAGCATACCGTGTATAAGGGATAACATAATGAGTAAGAAATATTTCTGTCTTTAGGAAATGTATAATCTAGCGAAGGTGACGAAGGAGTCTGAATATGGTAAGTGCCACGTAGAACAGGGAGTTATGGAAGCTTTTCAGAGGAGTACCTAACACAGCCTTGGGGAGGCCTCTCAGAGGAGGTGAACTGAATGTAGAGGGTAGCAGGGTCGACTAGACTAGATGGGTCCAAGAGAGGAGATGTGACCTGATCAGGGAATGAAAGTAGATTTCTGCAGCTAGAATAGAGTCTTCAAAGAGAGGAATGGTGAGATTTGAGGCTCAAAGGTTAAGTAAAAACTATATTTCTTGAGATCATGAATGATTTTACATGCTATAAATACAGACTTTATGCAAAGGGTTTTAGCAAGTAAATGACATTAGATTTATCTTTTGGAAGCTCACTCTGGCTGCAATGTGAAGAGTGCATCGGAGGGCATGGGAAGCCTGAAGGAGGCTTGCAGTGATCCAGGAGAGAGGTCAGATGGTCTTAGTGAAAGCAGTGGACGTGGGGTACAAGAAATAGACTGATCCGACAGGAATGCGGGATTAGGGTGAAATTGGGTATGGAAGTAGAGGGAGAAGAGAAGAATGACTTCTAGGTTTTTGGCTTGGTCAACTAGTAAAGATAGAAGACAAAGGAGGAGAAGCAATTTTGGGGCTGGAGTGACCATGAGTTAAATTTTCTGTGATCTTTCTGGCTTCGGATTCAAGTAACATATAAAACTTTGAGAGCTTATTATATGTCAATTTCCAGGCTAGGTATTTTAACACAGCGTA